GCTCCCTGCCCAGCTGCCAGGGAGAGTGGGTTGGACTTGCCTGGGGGAAGGGGGAGGCACAGGCAGAGAAGGACAGAACCCCCAGGGCCCCTCCCCGCAGGTAACGTGGGGCGGGGAGAACACGGCGGCCCCAGACTGTGCAGGGGGAGGGTCACTTGGCAGGGGAGACTCGTGGGGCGGTCACATGTCCTCCCTTTAGCTTGTGGGCCCCCCATCGTAACTTGCCCCCAGAGGGGGAAGGACAGTAGTGCCAGTGCAGGGCTTGGATTTACCTCTGAGTTGGCGATAGGGGGTCCACTGGCATTTAGCAGAGGCACTGGTGTCTTAACAGGGGCACATCAACTCCCCTCGCAGACACTTTGCCTCCCCAGAAGGCTTCCGTGGTATTTCCCCAGCTGTGCGGATCCTACAGCCTTGTGGGCACGGGAAGGGTGGCTGGGGTTAAAATAATGGAACGATGACTGCTGAGCCATTTGGCAGGCTGGGACCTTACCTGTGGACTTTCCCCATGAGCAGGGATTCCCGTTCACAAGCCTGACATCATCTCCTGCCTGGAGCGAGGAGAGGAGCCCTTTGTCCCAGCTTCCCGGGGCCTTGAGGAACCAGAGATCCTGAGAGGCATCTACACAGGTGAGGGATGAGATAAAGCATTTAGAATATTAGGGTTGGAAGAGACCTCAGGAGGTCACCTAGTCCACCCCCCTGCTCCAAGCAGGACCAATCCCCAGACAGACTTTTGCCCCAAATGGCTCCTTCAAGGATTGAACTCACAACCCTGGGTTTAGCAGGCTAATGCTCAAACCACTGAGTGATTTCCCTCCCCCCTGGCCGAGGGAAATGAAATGTTGGGACCCTGGGAAAGCGGCGTGAGTGCCCCTCCATCTCTGCCTCCTCTTGTGAGCTCTGCCGAGGCAGGTCTCGGCCGGAGACGTGCAGTGTTTGCCTTGGCTCTGAGCAGCCCCTTTCTGCCCCGGGGGATTCACCACCTGAGTACTGAGTTCTGGAACCGTAAAACAAAACATAAATGTAGAGTCCTGAGGCCAGAAGGGAACATTACGCCCCTCCAGTCTGGTCTCCTCAATCACCCGGGCCAGAAAACCTCCCCTGGAGAATCCTGCATCTGGCCCTGTGGCTAGTGACTGAGCCAGAAAGGATCTTAGGGGTCGAAAGAGAGAGAGACACCCTTGCAGCCCCCCCACTCTGTCGCCTTCCCTTCACTGTTCCCTTTCCTAGCTGTCCTTGTCCATCTCCTCCCCTCGGCAGATGCATGTTGTGCATTCAGCTCTGGGGTTCGTGCTCTGGGAGCAGTGGTTGTCGGTGACACACCTGTGTGCGGTTCCTATTCCCGAGGTTCCCTGTCTCCCACCCCCAGGGGACGGCTCGTGCCCAGACGGCCTCTTTATCCCAGATGATGACAGGATTGTGTCTCCAACTCGAGAGTCCTCACCTGGGAATCCCGACTGGAGAGCGAGCGAAACAATGGGCCCCCTCTGGAGCTGCACGGAGAGAAACCCCCTCCGTGCACTGACTGTGGGGGGCGTCACAGCTGGTGTTGCATCAGAGACACCCCGCCGGATAGAAACCAGCAGTGACGCGTGCCCTGGGCCCAGGGGACCCTGTCCCACCAGACACGTTCTGCATCACACGCCATTCGAGGCATGTGGGGTCAGCCGTGAGTTGTGGGCTCGGGGAAAGGGAGCACATTCCTGGGGTGATTAATTGCTTGGGAATCATGTAATGGGGGGGGGGGCATTGGGGTGGAAACCAGAGGAGAAAGATTCCTGGCTGACCTTGGGCAAGTCACTGCCCTGCTCTCTGCCTCAGTTTCCCTATCAGTAAAATAGGGATAATATTACTGACCTTTGTCAAACACTTTGAGGTCTAGTGATGAAAAGCACTAGACAAGAGCTAGGTCTTATTATTATTTTATTTTATTATTAAGGAGAAGCATCTTGGGCTTATTGATCATTGCTTAGGTGCCAGTGATCATTACTTGATTACATTTGTCAGGTGCAAACAGAATAATGTCCAAACCAGTATAATTATTTCTACACTTGTACTTTAAATTGGCCTGTTTCACAAAGCTGAAAACAGTGACGAGTCAATGAGCTGGGAGAAAGCATTTAATCAGAAAATTGTGAATGCTCTTTTGGAGTTGTATAAGAACATTGTACTAGATGCCCCAAAAGCCCAAATTTCCCAAGCAAGAAAGAAGGCTATACCAATGGGGAAAAAAACAACAACCTGGCTTAGAGGAGAAACGAAAGCAGATATAAAAAAATACAGTACATAACATATGGGAGGAAATATAAATTAGACGCTAGGAATTGTAGAAAATTGCTAAGGGAAGCAAAAGGACACAAGGAGATTATCTATGGCCAGCCGAGTTAAGGACAATAAAACACATTTTAAGAATATTCAGAACAAAAGGAAACCTAAAAATGGTATTTGTCCATTACTAGGTGGAAATGGTAGAGCTGACAATAATAATGTAGAAAAGGCAAACGTGTTCAATAAATTCTTCTGTTTTCCGTTTGGGAAAATGCCAGATAATGTATTCGTGTTATATGATGGTGAGAAATACTTTCTATTCCAACAGTGACTAAGGAGAATGTTAACAGCAGCTTCTTTTAAAGCAGCAGATGCGGATAACTTGCACCTAGGAGTTTTAAAAGAGCTGGCCGAGGACCTTGCTAGCCCATTAATGCTGATTTTTGAAAAGACTTAATACACTGGGGAAGTTCCAAAGGCCTGGAAGAAAGCTAATGTTGTGCCAGTATTTTAAAACGGTAAAGAGTTCACCCTGGGTAATTGTAGGCCTGTGAGACTGGCATTGATCCCAGGCAAAATAGTAGAATGGTAGATATCCAACTCAATCACTAATAGAATTAATGCCAATAGCATGGGTTATAGAAAATAGATCCACTCAAACTAACTTGAGATCTTTTTTTTAGGTGATTAGAAGTTTGGTTGGTAAAGGTAATAGCGTTGATGTAGTATACTTAGAATTTTGTGAGGCATTTGACTTGTGAACACAACGTTTTGATGAAGAAACTAGAACAGTACGAAATTAACATGGTGGCACCCGTTAAATGGATTAAAAACTGGCTGGCTGACAAGTCTCAAAAGATAACTGTAAACAGGGAATCCTCATTGATGTGTATGTTTCCAGTGGGGTCCCACAGGGATCAGAGCTTGGCCCTGCGCTGTTTAACATTTTTATCGATGACTTGGAAGAAGGCAAAAAATCGTCACTGATAAAGTTTGCAGACAATACAAATATTGGAGGAATGGTAAATAATGAAGAGGCCAGGTCACTGATACAGAGCGATCTGGATCACTTAGTAAAGGGGGCGCAAGCAAACAGTGGTTGTTTTAATAGGGCCAAATGTAAATGTACATCGAGAAACAAAGAATGCAGGCCACACTTACTGGATGCAGGTCACACTTATTGCCCTTATCTAAATCGATGGTACGCCCACATCTTGCATACTGTGTACAGATGTGGTCTCATCTCAAAAAAGATATACTGGCATTAGAAAAGGTTCAGAGAAGGGCAACTAAAATGATTAGGGGTTTGGAACGGGTCCCATATGAGGAGAGATTAAAGAGGCTAGGACTTTTCAGCTTGGAAAAGAGGAGACTAAGGGGGGATACGATAGAGGTCTATAAAATCATGAGCGATGTGGAGAAAGTAGATAAGGAAAAGTTATTTACTTATTCCCATAATACAAGAACTAGGGGCCACCAAATGAAATTAATGGGCAGCAGGTTTAAAACAAAAAGGAAGTTCTTCTTCACACAGCGCACAGTCAACTTGTGGAACTCCTTGCCTGAGGAGGTTGCGAAGGCTAGGACTATAACAGCGTTTGAAAGAGAACTGGATAAATTCATGGAGGTTAAGTCCATTAATGACTATTAGCCAAGATGGGTAAGGAATGGTGTCCCTAGCCTCTGTTTGTCAGAGGGTGGAGATGGATGGCAGGAGAGAGATCACTTGATCATTACCTGTTAGGTTCACTCCCTCTGGGGCACCTGGCATTGTCCACTGTCAGTAGACAGGATACTGGGCTAGATGAAAATTTGGTCTGACCCAGTTCGGCCGTTCTTATGTTCTTATGTTATGGGGGACTCTATCCTGGGAAGCAGCGACTCGGAAAAAGACTTGGAGATCATCTTGGACAATCAGCTGAACTTGAGCTGCCAATGTGCCAAAAGGGCTAATGTGATCTTTGGATGTATAAACAGGGGAACCTTGAGTAGGAGCAGAGAGGTTATTTCACCACTGGGTTTGGCACTGGTGTGGCTGCTGCTGGAATCCTGTGTCCAGTTCTGGTGCCCACAGTTCAAGAGGGCGTAGAAACATTGGAGAGATTCAGAGAAGAGCTGCTAGAATGACGAAAGGATTGGAAAACCTGCCTTACCGTGAGACTTAAGAGCTCTGTCTATTTAGCTTAGCAAAGAGAAGGTGAAGGGGTGACTTGAGCATAGTTTCTATGTACCTGCTTGGAAGCAGATATTTAATAATGGGTTCTTCAGTCTAGCAGGCAAAGGTCTATCAAGATCCAATCTTTGGAATTTGGAGCCAGACAAATTCAGACTAGAAATAAGGCACAAATTTTTAACAGCCAACGATTGTGGCAGATTCCTCAAAACTGGCAATTTTTAAACCAAGCCACTCTCTGAACTGTTTTGTAACATATTGGGGGAGAACGTGTCTGTCCTCGGCCCGTGCGTGGAAGTGTTTTTAGCCCACCAAGTCAGTAAACAGGAGCCGTGTGGGGAGCTTGCCCGACCCTTGAGCCCCCGGACGCAGGGAGGCCAGACCAGTCCAGAAATGGGTTGCCAGTGCCCTATGGAAGCTGGCTGCCCCAGAGTGCTGCAAGTCGGTGGCTGGTCAGTTTGGTGGTGACAACCAACCGTCGGTGTTGTGGTGATGGAAGGTTGGGAGGTGATTATTCCTGTGGTTTGTCCCCGGTGGTGCCAATTATTACGGCCCCCGAAATAGTGGCTGGCTTTGAGCCGATGGCCTTCCCGAGTCATGTAGGGACGGCGTAGTCAATTATTTTTTATCAAGGTCCAAATTTCTGGTAAAGGTATAGTCAAGGTCCACACTCAAGAGAAAATTTCAAACAATAACAACAATAATAATGATAATAAGTAAGTAGAAAGATTCCAGGGTCCATTCAAAAGCGTCTGGCGGTCTGGATTTGGCCCGCGGTCCACCTGTTGACTAACCCTGGTATAGGAGCCTTTGCTGGCACTCCTGTTCCCAAGCCTCTAGTACACATTCACAGGGCCAGTCTCTCTGGTAGGGGGAGACCGGTCCCGATCTCTCTGGTGGGAGGGGAGGAGGGAGACATCCCGGCTGGTTCTGGTCTCTCTGGTGGGAGGGAAGAGGGAGATGTCCCGGCCGGTTCTGGTCTCTCTGGTGGGAGGGAAGGGGGAGATGTCCCAGCCGGTTCTGGTCTCTCTGGTGGGAGGGAAGGGGGGAGATGTCCCTCCCAGCCGGTTCTGGTCTCTCTGGGTGCACCCCGGCCTCATTCTGCATCAGGCGCTTTGAACGTTCCTAGGCACATGTGCTGCCCGCGACAGCCCGGAGCTCGGAGGGCGCCGTGCCCTGGAGCTGAACTTCCCCGGCCCGGGACTCCTCGGAGGGTCTGGCGAATGCACGCTGGAAGTGGGGGCTGCTGGAAGCCAATGGCCCCCTGCACGGAAGGGGGCGCTGGTGTTACCAGATTGCTCTACAGGGGCTGAGCCCAGGGAGGTCTCAGCACTACTCAAGGATGGGGGGTGATTCTCTCTTTGGGGGGGTGACTCAGCAGGGGCTGCCCTTACCCAGGAGCCGGCATGGTGCTGGGGGAGCTGTTCTCCTGGGGGTGCCACCTTTGGAATGAAACGCTGAGCACCTGGGCCTGGTAGTCAGGGCCGGCTCCTGGGTTTTGGCCGCCCCAAGCAGCCAAAAAAAAAGCCGCGAGCGCGATCTGCGGTGGCAATTCGGCGGGAGGTCCTTCGCTCCGAGCGGGAGAGAGGGACCATCCGCCGAATTGCCACCGAATAGCTGGACCTGCCGCCCCTCTCCGGAGCGGCCGCCCCTCTCCGGAGCGGCCGCCCCAAACACCTGCTTGCCAGGCTGGTGCCTGGAGCCGGCCCTGCTGGTAGTTCACGGGGCACGATGCAGGATCCAGAAGCTGGCTAGTGAGTCTGTTGTGAAAAGTGATATTAACATCCTAGTATCACCTTTCAGAGCAGCAGACTGACTTAGCCCCGGCAAGCCCGGGGCCACATTAAGCCCTGGATGGGGAGGTGGGTAGGGAGAGAGCGGGGTCCAGGAGAAATAGGAGGGCCGGAGGCTGGGGACGCCACGCGCCCCTGCCATCTCAAAAGCTCCAACCCCACCTGTGCTAACCGCCTGTCCTTGGCAGCCTCTCTGCCCGGAGCTGGGCCCCCCAGGGCAGGCTGGTGAGGGGCACTGGCAGAGGTTGAGGCATGAGAAGTCTGCAATCAATTCCACCCCCTGGAGGTGCGTCCATCCATGGGGCTGGTCCAGTCAAGCACCCCTCTCCATGCGGTCCCAGGTCTTTTGAGCCTGCAGCGTCTGACCGGAGCTCAGACACTGCTGTCCCTGGGCACACGCTCGGGGCGCATAGCCTCTATTCAGCACCCCATCCTGAGAGCTTTGACCATGCAGCCCCCCTGCCCAGCCCCTAGAACTGTGGTCCCATAAGCGCCGGTTCCATGGGTGCTTTGGGGCTGGAGCACCCATGGAAAAAAATTAAGGGATGACCAGTTATTGGCAGCCAGGAATCAGCTTCTTGGTGGGCAGGCTCAGATCAGCTGTTTCCCATCCTTCTGCTCCAGCAGGGGCTGAGTGAGTCTCACACACGCCTTAGGGGGCGGGGCTCTCAGCAGCAGTGCTCACCTGGGGCTGCCCCACACCTGAGGGCTGGTGGCCATGGCGTCCACCTGTAGGGTTTCTCCCTGCCAGCCAGGCTCTAGGCACCAGCAAACCAAGCACGCGCTTGGGGTGGCACAACTGCAGAGGCGGCATTCCAGGGGCAGCTCTCGGAGGTTTTGGGGGTTTTTTTTGCTTTGGCAGTTTGCTTCCGGAGGGTTTTTTTTTTTTTCACTTGGGGCGGCAAAAAAACCAGAACCGGCCCTGACAGCAGGCGACCCAAGGGAGCCCAGCTAGGCTAGGGCTGGTGCGTGAAGTGGCAGATCAGGAGTCCGGGAGACGAAAAGCCCTGACCCCGGCAGGAGTGGCGCTGGGCGGGTGGAGGAGTCATCCCGGATCTGGGCAGGAACCGCGCTGGGTGGGGGCAGGGGGGAGGAGCTACAGTATCCCCCCCGTCCCCGTGTTCATGCCCCCCCCCACCCCAGAGCCAGGGCCAAGGCTCCTGGAGGAGGGGGGGAAACGGACAAAGACAGATAGGTGTAGGGGCCTGAAGCTGGGGTTGCAGCTGGCGGTGGGTCTGGATCCGGAGCTACAGCCAGGGGCTGAGGCTGGGGACAGGGTCAGGTGTGGGGCTGGGAGCTGGGGCCATGGCTGGGGGCAGGGCTGGAGCAGAGCTGGGGGTGGGGCACGCCAGGGCTGGGTGGCTCTGCCTGGCCCACTGCGCCCTCCCCTCGCCCCCCCCCCCTGCCCCCCCAGGAGCAGCTCTATGTTTTTTGCCACCCCAAGCACGGCAGGCAGGAGGCTTTCGGCGGCGTGCCTGTGGGCAGTCCGCTGGTCACGCGGATTCAGCGGCTTACCTGCGGGAGGTCCGCCGGTGCCGCGCCATCGGTGTCCCCGCTGCCGAATTGCCGCTGAAGCCACAGGACTGGCGGACTTCCTGCAGGCGTGCCGCTGAATCCGCGTGACTGCCGCCCTCACAGCGACCGGTGGGTCGCCCCCCGCGGCTTCCCGCCCCAGGCACGCGCTTGCTGCGCTGGTGTCTGGAGCCGCCCCTGGCTGGTGGGCTGGGCCTGCTGGTTCTCAGGGCATAGGGGCAGGAGCTGGTTTGGGGGAGACCACTAAGGGATTGAACCCCAAAACTGAGGCCACGCTGGGCCCTCTGCAGGGCCCCCCACCAGCACTGAGCTCGTCACGCTAGGGGGCAGCACGAATGACTGTACAGCCGGGGGCTGGTTGGTGGGGCGGCCCCGTGCCATGGGTGGTGTTTACAAAATGCTCTTAGGGTGTGAAACCAGGGAACCCACACCTGTGCCAATACAACCTAGCAACCCAAACAGGAGTCCCCAACAGCCTCCACCTTTCCCCCCACGACAGAGCAACTACCTCCTCCTCCCCATCGCCCAGCTCCCCTCGTCACATCACCCACCCGCAGGGCCCCTGGCACGGTGTCACGGGTGTGCTCCTTTTGGGGGTCTCTGAGCTGCTCCCCCATCGTGCACCGGCAGGGCTGGGGCATCAGCCAGGCGAGGAGACACTCACGACAGGGCAGGGAGGAGACGGGGTTTATTGTGGGTTTAGTATCTGTGCATGGGTTATACACGAGCTCTCTGCAGCCTCAGAACCGGGGAGGCCAGGCCGGGCGTCGCAGCCCTGCGGAACTCACCGGCTCAGGAGTTGAGCAGACGTGGCCCAGGAACACGCTGCCCAGAGCATCTCGCTACGGGCGGCTCCTGCTCCCATCCAGGGGGACCTGGCTCCTATCGGGGGGGGAGGGGGCTGGCTCCTGGGCTCCCATCGCTGGAAAGGGGGCCCCCTCTACCCACTATCCGCTCCTGGCTCTGGGGCACCTGGCCTGAAGCTCCCTTTGCCAGAAGTTCAGGTCCTCAATTCCCCATCCAGCCGCCTTCAGCCCCTGTCTACCCCTGTCGTCAACCTGGGAGCCCCTGGCCGCCCTGGCAGACCCCCCTGGAACAGCAGCCTCTTAAGAGCGAGTCCCCTCCCCCCACTGCCCTAGAGGCATCGCCCCTTGCCCCTTTCATGTGGGGTTACCAGCCCCCCAGCCTGGGTGCTGCACGTGGGTTCGTTCACTGGGTGCTGGAGCTGGTCCCAGCTCCAGTCTGCTTTGGGGGCTGCATCCTGGACCCCCACCTGGGGGCAGGACCGGTTCCTTCACCCCGGGCCTTGGCCTCGGCTCCCTCTGGGACGGAGGCTGGCACCTGTGGAGGGAACACACACAACGGCCTCACGCAGGAGAACCGGACTGGAGGGGCGAGGGGAGGGCGGAGTGACTAGGACAGAGCCTCCCTGGGGTCCATCGCCAACCCCTGCGCTGTGCCCAACCCCCATTGGAGAAACAGCCCCCCTCTCTGTGGATCTGCGCACCCCGATTCCCGAGCTGTCTGGGACTCGCCTGGAGAGCCCCAGAGCACAGGGCCCAGGGAGAGCGGCTGGACGCCTCGGCTGGTGTCCCCCTGCGCAGGCCAGACACCATGGGAGGGAGAGTGGAGGAGGGCCATGGGGGCTGGAGTCCAAACCCCCTGGGACCACAGCAGTCTCTGCCCCTCCCCACAACTCCCAGCAGCCGCTGCATTCCAAGGGGCCCCCCACCATCGCCCCCCACACCAGCCCCTCTGTCCCCCATGCCCTGGTGTGTACATACAGGGGGGTGGGGAGGGGCACAGGACCCGGCTCCCGAGGTCTCCTCCTGGATCCTCTCTTGCTGTCTCTGGAAGAGGTGGGGGGGGGGTTACTCTCTGCATGCCAGGCCCCCTGCCCTGCTCCAAGGGCTCCCTTCCCTCACCCCGCATCCTGCAGCTCTGCCGTGCCCCACCCCACAGGTTTGGGGCACCAGCCCAGGGAACTCCAGGGCCCAGAGGGGGGATGGCACCCTGCACCCCACACCTACAGATCACAGCACCCATTTGGCACCAGCCAGAGCCCTGAGGTCCCAGACCTGCGCCAGAGCCCCTGGCCATGCTAAAGCGGGGGGTGGGGG